AAAAAAAAAATTTTTTTTTCAATCGTTGACTCCAAATTAAGGCTTATTTAGCCGTATCTCCATTATTTACGGAGATACGGCCGATTTAAGTTTTGATTTATTTTAAAGCTCAAAATTTAAAATTATAAAAAATGTTATGGCCTTGCAGTCGCTCGTAGGGATCTATTAGGATGTCTATGTACATGGCACAGTCGTACACAAATTTATTAAACCACTTACAGTGCCAAGAACGGGCAAGAAAAAAAAAAAATTTTTTTTTCAATCGTTGACTCCAAATTAAGGCTTATTTAGCCGTATCTCCATTATTTACGGAGATACGGCCGATTTAAGTTTTGATTTATTTTAAAGCTCAAAATTTTAAATTATAAATAATTTAATGGCCTTGCAGTTGCTCGTATGGATCTATTAGGATGTCTAGGTACATAGCACAGTTGTGGAAAAAATTTTTATAACCAATTACAGTGCCTAAAACGGGCAAGAAAAAAAAATTATTTTTTTTTATTCGATGACTCCAAATTAAGGCTTATTCAGCCGTATCTCCATTATTTACGGAGATACGGCCGTTTTAAGTTTTGGCATGATTCCGAGCTCACAATTTTAAATTATGAATAATGTTATGGCCTTGCAGTCGCTTGTAGGGATCTATTAGGATGTCTATGTACATGGCACAGTCGTACACAAATTTATTAAACCACTTACAGTGCCAAGAACGGGCAAGAAAAAAAAAAAAATTTTTTTTCAATCGTTGACTCCAAATTAAGGCTTATTTAGCCGTATCTCCATTATTTACGGAGATACGGCCGTTTTCAGTTTTGGCATGATTTCAAGCTCGCAATTTTCAATTATAAATAATGTTATGGCCTTGCAGTCGCTCGTAGGGATCTATTAGGATGTTTAGGTACGTGGCCCAGCCGTAAAAAATTTTTTATAACCACTTACAGTGCCTAGCACGGGCAAATTTAAATTAAAATTTCCAAATAATTCATTCACTTCAAATTATGTTTATCTTGGCCGTATCTGTATTATTTACGGAGTTACGGCTATTCTAAGTTTTGGCTTATTTGAAAACTTGAATCTTTGTATTTGTATAAATTTACAGTTTTGCAGTCGCTCGTAGGGTTTTATCAGGAAGCATAATAAAAATAAAATAAAATTTTTTCAATTTTAATGATTCAGAATTATTGCTTATTATTTGATGTCCTTATAGTTTACAGTGATACGTGCTTTGAAATTTTTGACTATTATATACTCTGAGCCAAGTCGTTTGGATTTTTAGTAACGTTATGGCATTGTTGGCGCTTGTAGTTATGCATTAGACTGTCTGGAAGTGTTATTTAGTTGCTCTACCGACTTTGAAACCTAGCGGTGTGGCTTTGTTTACGCAATTTTAAAAAATTTTGTGTTTTTATTTGAATGACTCAAAAATATTTTATATACTTCTACATTGTTATCATTAACGAAGATATGGCAGTTTAAGATTTTAGCTGTCTTTATCTACATTTACGAATCGGTAGTAATTTGATGGCTCTGGAGTTATTTGTTTAGTTATATATGCAATGAGAGAGATCTAGAAAGATAGTGTGAGATAAATCAGACAGTATTGACACTTATGCTTAATGTCATAAACTTAATGGTCTTTTCTCTCAAACGTATATAAGATACGTATTTTCTGGCAATGCCCCTCCAACGGAGTGCATTTTTCGTTAAGTTTATCGTGTTTTTAAATTGTGTATACATCCGTATGGCACTGTACTTTTAATATTACTAATTTTTATTAAGCATGTGTTCAGATAAAATTGCAACTTTTAAGAAATATATATTTTACCTCCAAATTAAAAGACTTGTTTTCGGCCAACCATTAGTATTAATTAGAGTCGTTTTTTCCGCAAAACTGCGTGAGATACAATGATCATCGTAGATGTGTATCTGACACGAATTTACCGTAGTTTCCATTTCTTACCGCAATTATCGTACGACGAAAATAAAAATTATTTCAAATAATTGGTGAAATTGTCTCCAACAAGTCACGTCTTTAGTTGATATTTCAAATGACGCACCTAAGATGCATATTGTGTTTGCTTGAAAAAATAAACTAAAATATCATAAAATATACCGAACCGCACGAACCCAACTTCATGTACCCACATACATCTTCATGCGGTCACGAGCTTAAAGATTTCTTTTTTTTTTTTCTTTCTTTGCATTACAGTAAAAGACCGAGCCAAGCATGAAATGACCTTTGCCCAGCTGATTCCTGCAGGACGCACGCACACGTACGTCCTATATATAAGACGCAATGTAATCCAGCTGGTACTGCATAAATACATCATACTGTACACGCAACTACGGTAGCTACTCGCGCAAACCTATATTGCACCCGCCGGATAACGACACTGTGTCACCACTGCGCACTGTTCCTCCCGCGGTGCCAAGGATCAAGACTCCACTGTAAGAACACATTTGGCTTTAAATCACACGCAGAAATACTATGTACCTTTACTTAAATTCTACTAGGTTCGGTATATCTGTTGGGATGGTGATACCGATGTTGTTTTTCATTTTAAAAAATAGGTGTCAAGTGCAGGCAAGGGTTTATCCAACTTTATTGATTTAGAGCTGGTTGTTATTGGTCCGTCGTTGGCTCGAGTTTCAGGTGCTATGGGCAAAGACGGAAACAAAAGACGCCGATGTGGCTCCGGACTCCATCGGATATATGTATACACTTACGCGCAAGAGCTTTGCTGCCCGTGGCTTGTACACCAGTACACCCTCGGCATGTGTGTGTATCATCATATCAGCTTGATGTGATGATGATGACTGTGTACGCTCTCTTCTCCTCGCGATAAAGTAAGTATATACTTAGCAGTGGGGGCTTTTAAAAGGCCACCCTGTACTTGCAGTCAAATGGACTATTAGTAAGTACAGTGGATGCGTGGGTGTACCTATACACATGTATACCTATGTACTTTAACGTGCACCATCAATCCTATATTTATATTCGTCCTTCTATTTCATCTGTCTGGTCTAGCCCGAGACGCGAGACGCCTTAGTTGAACCCCTTGACTTACATTTGCGCTTATGTATATCGGTGCAGGAAAGAAGGCGTTATTTTAAGTTTGTTGGGATGAAAAATGCTTTCATCTCGAAGATTTTTATTTATTTTATTTTTTTTTTTTCAACTCATTGTAAAGACACAAATGTACTTTGAACTTTTATCTTACCGTCAGGTGTGAAAAATAACGCGGAAAGTATATAATTTGATTGTCCAACACGAGTGTGTTTTCAAACTTCTAAAGTATACATCTCCAAAGTACTGCATTTTTCCCGACGAATGTAAGATACGCCACTTTTTTCCTAAAAAATTGGAAATGCAGTGCTTTTTTTCGATGCAATATATACCGTATTCAACTTGCTTCGTTACATCCATTATAGTGATAGGGAATTCATAACGTCTAAGCAGAGGTGGTGCGCTTTGCTTCGTAGTAAAATTAAATGAAATTTTTTTTTAATTATTTTGTAATGATATTAACTACTGGCAGTTTGAGCAAATCTACTTACACTTATTCATACAATATATGTGCATCATCGAGTCAGATGATATTGGAATTTTTATACGAGCTCAGTCGCAGTGCGTGAACTTTAAGAAAAACGATACTATTCTATTTTTCAGCTGTAAAAACTACGAAAAAGCATTCGACGATTGAAAAAATTGATCATTTTATTGGCTATAAAATACTTGCCTTTTTTCCTTTCCTTACCCTTCTCATGTAGCCATTATTAATATTATTGTATTTTTCTATGCTGACACTACTATTACTTACTTTTTTCTTTTTGTTTAATAACATTCTCGAAAAATTTCCCCCCTAGAGCTAGCAGTCGGTGAGTAAAGGTAAAGCGGCGTTTGATTTTTCATATACGATCGTGTATCGATACGTTTGAATAACTTTACTTTATTGAACTGTCGACAAGTTGGCACAAAAAAATCAATCCTACCAATATTTTACCTTCACCATTCGTGGGGTATTATTATTTTTAATATGGACTGTATCATTACTTTTTTTTTTATTTTTGCGATCTGAATAATGTCTGATTTTAAAGTAAATGAAGTCAAGAGAGTATCTATATTACTCAAACGGTTTAAGTAGGATTAAATAATTCTAAGATAAATAGTTTTCCAAGATAAAAAAAAGCCGTGATGATGGAAACGAAAAATATTGCACTAGATAAAATAATAAAAGTAAACTTTCATACTTACGCAATATTGGCCGAAGAAATATTTATTTCCTATACAGGACATGCTGTTTCACGTTATCGACAGTGGCTCTTGTTCCGCAATAACCATCATATAATCGAAAAATCAATGAAAGTATTAAAAAGGTGGATGTCAGCATAATGATAAAAATATTTTGTTCATGGGTAATAACATAATATATTGCAAGTAATGAATCTTGCTACGTTTAGAATTGTGTTTAGTTGGTATTATATAGTGTACCTTTGTATATACGTTCCGAGGAAAGAAGCGTTCCCGTTTGTTTTTTCTTTTCCTCACAGCACACTATTGTTATCTCTTTTGGTACTCGTTATTTAGTTGTTTTTCTTATTTGTAGTCAAGAATAAGAAAAAAAATTTCATCTTTTGGATGATCATAAAAGATTTTCTTAATGTGAGCAATAAAAGTATCTTACGATTTCTTACATTATTTCTGTTTTTTATTCTACTACAAAAAATATACTGAACAAAAAAATACATTAACGAACTTACACTGAATGTTTAACTTAGGTACAAGTAAGTACTAAAAACTAGGACGTGTTCAATAAAAATAAATTTATATTTTCATCATATCGAGAACATCTAAAATATGGATCTAAAGCATTTGCAGCGCCGTGGATTTTGTACGGCTTTTTCTACTCTGTCACCCCCACGCCCCCACCGCCCTGCCGCCACACATATACATACCGCATATATGCTTGACTCTTCCACGTGGTTCTTGCGGTAACATCTGCATAGTGTCTGCTGCTGTTTCTTCTGCTTGTCTATATCATTATTGAAATATATTTATAAAGTGTTGCCTGTGATAATGGTGCTGGACCTAGAGCTCTTCCGCGAGGACAAGGGTTTCGAGCCCGAGAAGGTGCGGGAGAACCAGCGCAAACGCTTCAAGGATGTCGGCCTCGTCGACACGGTTATCGACAAGGACAAGACCTGGAGGCAGCTGCGCCACCGGGCCGACAACCTCAACAAGCTCAAGAACGTCTGTAGCAAGGAGATCGGAGAAAAAATGAAGCGCAAGGAGCCCCAGCCGGCTGCCGACGAAGCAGGGGACGCAGTCCCCCAACACATAGCCCAGGATCTCGACGCCCAAGTGACCCCGGATAACCTCAAGACGCTCAGCGTCGCCCAGATCAAGAAGCTACGTGTCCTCATCGACGAGGCTATAGCCGAAAACGCGCGCGAGCTCGAGCGAACCGAGGCTGTAAGGAACGAAGCCCTCAGGGAGGTCGGCAATCACCTGCACAGCTCGGTCCCCGTCAGCAACGACGAGGACGAGAACAAGGTATCTGACACTCCCTTACTCTTGATCGTTCAGCCCTTAGATCCTTCAATTATTGAGTACCCCTGCATACTGTCCATGCTCCCGGCAATAATTTGCACGATTTCATAATTCCAATTTATCTAAATGGTACACGGTTACCTTACCCTATTGTCACTATATTCCAACAGGTGGAGAGGACATACGGAGATTGCATGCAGAGAAAAAAGTACTCTCACGTGGATCTTATTCACATGATTGACGGCATGGATGGGGAACGAGGCTCTGCAGTTGCAGGTGGAAGAGGATATTTTTTGACTGGCCCTGCTGTTTTCTTGGAGCACGCTCTTATCCAGTTGGCTCTCAGAAAGTTATTTGACAGAGGCTACAAGCCTCTGTACACGCCATTTTTTATGCGAAAAGATGCAATGCAGGAAGTTGCACAGCTATCCCAATTTGATGAAGAACTGTACAAGGTAGATTTGCATGCACAGTACCCAAGTATTCATTGTAAACTTTGACTGATTTATATTTCTCGGGCTAGGTGATAGGAAAAGGCAGTGAGAAAGGAGAAGAAAAAGATTTGGAAGAAAAGTATTTGATTGCTACTTCTGAGCAACCTATAGCAGCGTTCCATAGGGGAGAATGGATTCCTGAGACTTCGCTACCCATCAAGTATGCTGGTTTATCTACGTGCTTCAGGCAAGAAGTGGGTTCTCATGGACGTGACACGAGAGGAATCTTTAGGGTCCACCAGTTTGAAAAGGTGAGATGTACATTTTTTTCTTTTTTAATGCACCGAAATCCATAACTTACGATTCTTTTATATAGGTGGAACAATTTTGTCTCACTTCGCCACATGACAATAAGTCGTGGGAAATGATGGAAGAGATGATTAGAAATGCAGAAGATTTTTATCAAGAATTGAACATACCCTATCGAATTGTAAATATAGTATCGGGTGCTTTGAATCACGCTGCTTCAAAAAAACTCGATTTGGAAGCATGGTTTCCTGGATCTGGTGCGTTCAGGGAACTTGTGTCTTGCAGTAATTGCTTGGATTATCAGGCTAGACGTCTGCTGGTTAGGTAAAAAATTTTTATTCTAATCCAATCTTTCTGTTAAACACAGGGACCAATATGAATGATTTTTATTTTAGGTATGGTCAAACTAAAAAAATGAATGCCGCCGTCGACTATGTGCACATGTTAAATGCAACCATGTGTGCAGTAACTCGAGTGATATGTGCTGTTCTAGAGATAAACCAAACAGAAACTGGGATTCAAGTTCCAAAAGCCATAGCTCAATTTATGCCAACACAATACCAAGAGGAAATACCTTTTGTTAAACCTGCCCCAATCGATGAGACGGAAACGAAAAAACAAAAAAAACAAAAAGAAAATCAGATCAAATAGCTTAAACTGTTCTATGTAACGTATAATTGCATTTGAATTTTTTGCAAAACTAATTTATAATGTTTTTTCTGATATTCTTAATATTTGCTAAGAAATTTTATTTCTACTTTCCTACGAATTTAATAAATGGAAATTAGATTTTTCTAAAAATATTTATAATTTTATTAAAACACAGTGGGTAAAATCTTACAAATATAAATCTTAATAACCGAAAACATTTCATATGACTATGCACCGTCTTCCTCTGCCTGCATTTGTTCAATCAATCTTTTACGTTCTTCTGCCCTTTTTAAATTTTTTAAAACCATTGTTTCTAAGTCGTTGTAAGACTCAGTTTCTGAAGTTGTTGTGTCAACAGTTCTTTTAACTTTCTGAAAAGCAAGAAATCGTTCAAATTTATGAATTTACATCGTGGTAAAAGCTTATTTCTGTCAAACTGATACATACAAATATGTCAGGTGCTGATGAAAATGTTAGTCCTTGAGAAAAGGGATTATTCCTCGTGTCGGAAGATCCTTTAGCTGAAGGGAATAGGTTTACTTTGGAACCAAGAGAAAAGTGACTAGCATTAGATTGTACTTTATGAGATGTTTTTCCCTTTTCCCACATTCCTTCTAATTTGAGTGGATTGGATACTAATCCTATCTCATAATTCACTGCAGAAACCTAAAATTATATATTTCGCGAATTTTGTTCTTAAAAATGATTTAAAAGATAGTTATGTACTTACAGCTGCTTCCTTAGTCGTATATTCTACAATAGCTCCACCTCTACCTTTTTTAGCTTCTTTAGACAGAATTAATACTGATATTTCACCATGCTAGAAAGTAATAATACTAATTATATAATTTAAAGTGGTTCAATAATAGATTATAAATAACAAAATTACTTTGGACAAAATTTGACGTAATTTATCCTCAGTGTACCCTCCGTTATTCTCGTCATCCGCAGCAACTTTCCACCTTATCTTAACACGACACTCTTCTTCGCTGTAAGTACTAGTTATATTTCCTTGCAAGTCTTCTAAAATCTTTTTTCTGAGGCGCTCTTTTTCTTCTTCGACTAGCCTTGATCCTTCTTTCCTCAACCTCTCTATTTCAACTTTGAGTTTTTCCTCATCAGTCTGGGCCGAAACATAATCTTTATTCAATGATCTCTTGAAAGCTTCTTCTCTTGCTTCAAGGTCATCTTTTAATTTTCTTCTCTTGGCATTTAATTCCTTAGCTCTAAGCTTAGTCTGTTCTCTTGCGCTCACAACTTTATCATATGCAGCCTAAACGTAAAATTTGTGATTTTTACTTTCAATGTTAATAAAAGTGTGCATAGATACATAGGAATAGTCAACTTACCCTAGCTGATGCATCCGTTAATATTTCTAGTACTCTTGTTAATTGTTGAAATAATTCTGCAGCTTTGGGATTGTTTGGATTCTTGTCAGGATGGCAACTGAGTGCTTTTTTCCTGTAGGCTTTTTTAATCTATAAGTCACAAATAATAATTTCCTCGATTGTTGCAAATACTTTTGTAGAAATCATAAATGTATACAGTTCATGCAATACTTGCCTCTTTTTCATCTGCAGTTTGGTTAACTCCAATTATTTCATACAAATCTAGTTTTAATATATCATCTGCCATTTTGCATCAGCAACTTTGTAAATTTTCGGCTTTAAATGTAACGTTTTGTATTTCTTTAAAAAAAATTAAAACTTAAGACATATACGACACGAGGTTATTTTGCCCTCATCATATACGTATATTATATGTATGACAACAGCAAAATATGTATGATATTCTACAAGAGTTGTATTCCGCAACCACCGCCAGCTATAGTTACATACATCGGGTTTCACGAAAAAGAGCAAGTAAACTGACGTCGTTTACTTTTCAGTAAATCGACAGTTGCTTTGTACCCCCAATCACGCAACGGCGATTGCGGAATACACTCTGTGTTATACCATTCCAACGTTCCTGTTTTATTGGGTCGTTGGGTTATACCATTCCAACGTTCCGGCGTTACTGTGTTATACCATTCCAATGTTCCGCGGTTACTGTGTTTTACCATTCCAACGTTCCTGCTTTATTGGGTTATTGGCTAATACCATTCCGTTGTTTCTGTATTATGTGTGGGTGCAATCCGCAATCGCCACCATTTCGTGGTATTCCGTAACTTTTTTTTCACTGTGTGAGCTTATGTTGTAGCGTAGGCTTCAACCACGCAACGTTGTCATGTAACTCACGTTAGTTTTTTCCTCATCGACTGGCTATTTAAAATTAAAAATTATTTTTAAAGAAAAACGACGTTCTTTGAATTATATTGATGATGTTAAGCCTAAGGAGCAAGTGTTTTGAAATATAAGAAAAAAATTATCACGGAGGACCTGATACCTGATGAATATGTGATAATTTGTGATTTGAACATTCAAGAGCGGGGTCTGATCGGGGCATTCGATATCTCGGTTAAAAATATAAAATAACGATAATGCGCATGCGTAGTTTAGGGATCATCGAAAAAACTGCTTACTCAAGCGAGATATCGAATGCCCCTGTTGATGTCGAAATGTTAGTTTGCAGTTTTTACTACCCTAAATAAAATTACATCGGTTTTTGGTGCTTCAATTCATGTAATTAATTTTTTTCTTTTAATCGCTTCAAAAGATTCTTTTGCTGATTTCAATAAACTTTATATGATTAATTAAAAATTCATAGATGTAAATTTTTTTACATTTTCTGATATACTTAACAAAATGTGAAAAGAACATTTTACTTTATAGAAAAAAATATCTGTATGTAAGTTGCCAATTGAATAATTGAAAATATTTACGTATTAATAATAAATATATTAAAATACTTAACTGGACGGTAAGGTAGAAAATCTCAGGACTGGCTCTCTCGGTCCGAGAGTCTCGAAATCAGAAAAGGAGTGGGAGTAAAAATAACGAGCAACTGAAACTGAATTGGACATTTGGAAATTGGACATTCGTCTGTTGGTTCTTCGAAAGTAAATTTAATAACTGATCATGATGGATTACGAATTCAAGATGAAGACGCAGAAGGACCGCATCAAGGTCGAGGATCTGTTCGAGTACGAGGGCTGCAAAGTCGGGCGAGGTACTTATGGCCACGTCTACAAAGCTCGTCGTAAAGAGGGGTTAGTTTACTTTTTTCTTTCTATTCATTTATTTATTTATATAAGCATTGGCTTTTTGTAACACGCCTTTTAACGTGTACACCCGTATATGGTCCTCTACGTGTGTTACATTAATCTAGAAAATCTTGTCCAAATCAACTTTGCAAGATTCACATTTTTTGCACTTTTTTAACAGCACTTGTGCTTGCGGTATTTTTCATTTTATCCGCTAACTCTTAATGGATAAGTAATACTCCCTAAACTTGAGTACATGCACATCGCATCGAAAAATTAGTAGATTTTCAATTACAAAATTTTGGTCTCTGATCCCAATCTATTAGTCCATCGAGAAAACAGCCCTTATATACTTACATTAATTTTTTTTATAACTAGAGTACCGGACAGTGAACTCAAGAGCAGACCGGATACAAAAGACTTTGCCTTGAAACAAATCGAAGGCACTGGACTGTCCATGTCTGCATGCAGAGAAATCACAGTGAGTTTTATTAAATTGTTTTGGATTCAATACATACAAGTCGCAGTTATAATTTGGAGTCATTGATTTTTTTTTCTTAGCTACTTAGAGAACTCAAGCATGTTAATGTGATTACCCTGATCCGTGTATTTTTATCTCACAATGATAGAAAAGTATGGCTTCTATTTGATTTTGCAGAACACGACTTGTGGGTGAGTTGCTTTGGAATCTTTGTATCATAATACTTTTAACCGTACTTTGACTTCATCAATATTAAAATAATATCGTTCTGCTTGTATTTCAGCACATTATTAAATTTCACAGAACTGCCAAGGCAAACAAAAAACAAATCATGGTACCAAAGGGCATGGTTAAATCTTTACTGTATCAAATCTTAGATGGCATTCATTATTTACATTCCAATTGGGTTCTTCACAGAGATTTGGTATTGCTAATACCTAACCCATACTATCTTTGGTTACATTTTACATAATTATTAATCAAAATGGTAATAATTTTAGAAACCGGCAAATATTTTGGTCATGGGGGAAGGCAATGAAAGGGGACGTGTGAAAATTGCAGATATGGGGTTTGCTAGGTTGTTTAATGCCCCCTTGAAACCTCTAGCAGACTTGGATCCTGTTGTAGTCACTTTCTGGTACAGAGCTCCTGAGTTACTTTTAGGAGCTAGGCATTACACCAAGGCCATTGGTGAGTGTTGTTTCATACTTTTTTAATATTATTTTAAAAATTTTACCACTCAATTATTTTATTTATGCAATGTATTTAAAACATTATTTCAGATATATGGGCCATTGGATGCATTTTCGCAGAACTCTTGACTTCAGAGCCAATTTTTCACTGCAGACAGGAGGACATTAAAACTAGCAACCCATACCATCATGACCAATTAGATAGGTAATAAATTTGTAACAACTTTTGCAGAATTAGGCATCTAACATTTATGCTAAATTTTTAGGATATTCAACGTTATGGGTTTTCCTCTGGAAAAAGATTGGGAAGATATTAAGAAAATGCCTGAACATCAGACTTTGTTAAGAGATTTCAAGAGATCAAAGTAATTTTATTAATTTACATTTTTATTATTTTTGCCTCCATAAGTGACTAAAACATGTGATTTGTATCGTAGTTACGCAAATTGCTCTTTGACAAAGTATATGGATCGTCATAAAATTAAACCAGACAGCAAAGCTTTCAATTTGGTATGAATTTACAATTTTTTATATACTTTATTCAAATTTTAATCGTCTATTTAATAATTCTCTGTTTTTTTTTTTTTTAGTTACAAAAGTTATTAATGATGGATCCCAATAAAAGGATTACATCGGAAAATTCCATGCAAGACCCTTACTTTCAAGAAGATCCAACACCTACTCCAGAGTAAGTTTTATTGACTTACAAATCTATCTAACATTGAGGCTGTTTGTTTCTAATCAAATTCTTTTTTTTACAGTATTTTTGCAGGGTGTCCAATCCCATATCCAAAAAGAGAATTTTTAACAGATGATGATGCCGATGATAAGACTGAAAATAAAACTAGACAAAATCAACAGCAAACAGTAAGTAAAAAGTTTTTTGCAACCAAAAAAATTTATTTTGTTTGAAGAATTGGTTTTTGCTCATAATTGCCTGCAGCATACATATAAAGTCAATTATTAAAATAGACTTTTTATGCTTGAAACTAGACTTCGAGACTGCAATGATTGAAATAAACAATGTAATATTCTTTTTTTTCAGCAACAAAATCAACAGCAGCAAGGAAACGGTGATCACAATCATGGCCAAAATACTAAGAGAGTGAGACTGAACGGCCCGCATGGAACAGATTTTCACCAACACCAAAGCCATGCTATGAGTCAACAGCATCCTCAAGGTATGGTCTATTCGACTGCTCAACCAACACAGCAAGCGAATTTTCATCAGCGTTTTTAATAAGTATCTTTGAAATGACTGATTAAATAAGTTAATTACTGAACAAAGACTAACACTTAAAAAATTCGATACAATCGGCTCTGTGAAGAGTCAGCAAACAATTGTTTTTTGTAAAACACCATTTTTGGAATCGCGATTAATTTTCTCTGTTATCCAATAATCGATTTTATTAAGTTGGAATTGATAACATAGTCTCCTCTTAAAATATTAGATTTTGTACAGTGTAGTATGTTAAAATAAGAATTATAAAGACGTTCACATTTGAGGGTTTCCGTCGCTAACTCTATAACTTGCTACATTATATGATCGTTTATAGAACAGTGGCACTGATTGTCTTGCCGATCCCAACTGCTAAATCATAATTTGACGTAATTACATCTATAAATCGAATTATCGATGTACGAAACTTTTTTCTTGTTTTGAAAAATACTCGTACATTTGTTAGTATAATCATTGCCGCTTGCTTAAAAATGTGATTGCCAGTACTAAAATTTCATGAATCATGGCAAGGCTCTCAATTCGATCTAAAAATATTAAAAAACTCAGACTTTGCAAGGACAGCAAGCAGCTGGACTATAGTGTGTGGAACTAGGTACATTTAAATTTCCAATTTCTAATACGACTAAAATATATGATATACTCTAATGAAACATTTGACAAGATTGTAGTTTTCATAAACTTTTATTTTGCCATTAAAATTATCAGCCTTAAAAAACTATTGGTTTACTGATTGGTTGTCTTAAACGTGTAAGCCATTTGGAAAACTTGTTAAAAGTCGAACAAAAGCTTGAGCAACACAATCTCATTAGTAAACGCGTTTTTTTCCTCGAGCAACGTGTACTAATTTCTTAATTCTATAACGTTTATCAAACTATGCCAGCAGTTGTTGATGCGATGCAATCTCTGCCCCGAAGAGCTCTGCATGTGCCTGTGTCCTCGAGCTGGTTTACGTTATTGGTTTTGCCTTCGGCACTTTGCTAAGGCTACTTTAGGTACTACTTTATGTTACACTGACTCAATCTGATGTAGACCCGATGCAACCTACGTGCTATATGCCTTGTGACGGTGATATCGTAAGAGTATGCACGATTATCGAATATAAATTTACAGAGTTGCAAAGACTTTTGATTTAAAATAAATTTTTTTTTTTTGTACCCATAGAGTGATTTATTATAACATTGTGTCTTGTGGCTTTCGTGCTAAAATTTTTCACACACACAATTAAACAGTTCCGCCAATAGCGTGCGTAATGAAATATATAATACTTACAGTATTAATTCATAGTTTAAACTTACACTAGTAGATTACGCACCTACTTATAAGAAGCGAATGTGAAATCTCAGATTGCATGAAGGGTTGAACATGCGATACAAGACTTTCTTTATCTCCTCCATGTAGTGTATAAATATTTCTTTTATTGCCAACTCGACCAGAAGTTGGTACGTGGAGCAAAAGTGCTACTTTTGGTCGAAGTAGGCAACCAATTAATTATTAGCTCCCATAGCTTCATTCAAAAATGATTATTTGAGGAATGTATAAATAAAAAAACTTATTTTTGTACATAACGCAACGTAAAATTAAAATCACGCAAAGATTTGCATTTGTTGTACTGTATTTGTGACGCGTTATTAATTAGATTAATTAGAGCTATTTTACATCGTATGTATGTTCTTGACTACGATTGTATGAAAATTAAGCCTAAAATCCGTACAGGCGAGATCTGCCGATTATTATGTAGTTTTCAAAGTGTTTTTGGAGCGCTCTGTGTGTGAAAAGTCTCGAATGGCTAAGCATTAATGACTGTGTGTAAGAATTTCGCTAAATTCTGGAAAAAAATTTAGTCAACACAACAATGTTATTCAATAAATAAAATATTTTCAAACAAACATTACATAGCCTTACACTATATCATCTCCCATTTTGGACATCAAAAATTTGATAATATTGACATGAAATTCTTCTTGTTTGAATTAGTAATAATAATAGGTGAGCTAATAAAATAGAAAAGTTGATCCACTTGAACGCGACATCCCGATCGTCGAATCACGATTCCAGACTGCGGTCTGGCGAGCAAGGTTTGCCGCAGGAATTCTCGCAACATTAGAATATCGCGATAGGGCGCTATTGGACTCGAAAATAATGCGTGACGGGACTTGCGTTTACCCTTTGCTTATTTAAATTAACTAGTAAAATACAAGTTTTTTGCGATACGAGAGCCGTGCGGTGGCAGTACACCCTACTTTTTTTTACTCTATTACTTTTTACGCTCTACTCTTTTTCTTTTTCATACCGAAATTCGAATAATTTTTAGAAGAGTCTATGCCATCATCTGTTGAAAGATAAACATTGAAGTTCCTCTAATTACTCTTTACATTTTATTTACTAGTAATTTATATACGTACGCACTTACCGATTACAGTGGAATTTTACGATTAGTGAGCCATTCCTAGAAAAATCATTCGTTATAATTATGGCCCTGAAAAAATACAAATCAAGTTTTTGCAAGATTTTGAAACTAATTTTACTTTTTTCGTACTTTTATGCGATGAATAAAAAAAAAAAAAAGCGAGAACATCCTAAAAAGCCGGTGTGGCACGTCTCTATTTAGACATTTTGTAAATCATGAAAATAATTATCATGAAAAAATTTGATAATTTCATTTAATTTATCCAACAAGGGACTGGTCTGACATAATAAAAAAAGCTTTTCAATGTGACTTGTTGAGTCAAAAAAAAAAAAAAAAAATTGAATAAATCATCTAGATTTTTTCAGAGACTGAATTTTGGCGATCGAACAAATTTATTTGCATCTGCTGTTCACAAAAAGGTTTTTCGACTAACAAAGACCGGATTGAATTTTTCACATTTATTGAATTTGTCTTTTAAAAAGCTATCGTCGACAAAGGTGACTTTTAACTCAAATTGTCCATCGTTTTTTATTGAAATTTAAAAAAAAAAAAAAAGATATATCTATCTACAATACTTAAATGTCATAATTAATATTAGAAAAAAACAAATTGATAATGAACGACAACTATAAACTTTTAAATATTTTGAGAACAAAGAAAACATTATCTGGAAAGCCTTTTTTGTCTACTTTATCTTACGCGTATTTCAATACAATATGTCACTGTATACTCTGTAGAAAAAAGTCAATTTTTTGGGTAAATTTTTTCATAGATTTGTAAGAATTATCATTTCGAAAACTACACACCAGATAAGCATGACTAATTTGCGAAAGGCTGTAACTCCAAAATGATAAGAAGTTAAGCGTAATCTACTGATACGATTTTTCAAAACTACGACCTTTCGGATAAAAATCTGATTTATTGTTTTCGGAAAAACACAATTATACATTTTAATGACGCGCCTGACCAAAAACATTTAAAAAACGTCCGCGGCGATCACCAAAATTACGAAAATCGGTATGGACGTGATTGAAAGGGCCAAGAGGACAAAAGTTTCATCGCGACCTCACGTGTTTCGCCGAGCAACGCAAATTCAGCCTATCGCGATTGTGCGTGACGTCAAAAAAATTTTGCCAATCAATCAGTACCCAAAATTATTCAAAGCGTATACTTATAAATTCACCGGACGGCTTCCAGGGGCTTTGGATTCCATAAACAGCTAACGTACCCTCCGAATCGAATAGAAAAATGTTTTTCTCCGGCCTCGCGGATACACCGATCTGTGGGAAAATTTTTTTCACTTGACAAAGTTATATGCTCATCACGATTTCAAATCTCGTTCGATGTACGTATTATGTATACATACCGGTTTTTCGAACCCATCGGGCCTCTGTTTTTCATCACGCGGCCGGAGTTGGACGAATTGTGCCATTGAGGAGGGTTCGAAATAGTCGACTCATCGCGTACACGTGTTACAAATCCTGCGTTTGAAAATTTTTATTTTCTCGAATCCATTGCGCCAGACACTAAAACGTATTGTACGCGTCCTTATGCCCACCTTGTTACATATTATTGTGACCTGGAAAAATTAATGGTGCGAGCAGTGCCCGGGAAAACCGCTTTTTTTAAATATGTTAGCAGGTGAATACTTTCACTTGCTTGTTGACATCATTGTACAGAAGTTATCGAGCCTGTAACGATAGACGGCGAAAGTGATTTTAAAATGTAACTGCTGGTATACTCATTTGTATAGTCAAATCAGGGCTGAATTGCTTGTTCAGTTCGATATTACCTTCCTCTACTGAGATATGTTACAATTTCATTCTACTAATGTGTAGTTTTGAACATAAAAAGAAAAAAGAAAAAAAAAGTATAGCTGATGAAAAATGAAAACTGAGAAACGATGGCAGTGTCGAGTGTGGCAACTGCAAGGCCATTCCCAGCGCACTTTTTGATTTTCGAACAATTCGACTTCCATAGACAACCCAATTACACAATATTGGTATAAATAGGTTTCCTCATCGAATCTCCACCTGCAGGGCACATCCGAGAGTTGCCTACAAAATAGCGCCCGAGGGTCTTACTTATAAATATATATATATGTATAGACGCGCACCAGTTTCGTGTATTATTTTTCCCAACTTGGGCACTTTCTACGGACTTGGATGACTTGGATCTTTTATTGTGTCCTCGCTCGTAATGATGTATAAAGGAAGATTGTTGCTCGAAACTGTAGTGCCCGGTATCCAACTTAGGGCCCCATCATCTGATCCTCCTTTGCTCGGAAATGTCGCAACGAAAACTGTACTAGATTACATATGTTACCGTTCTAAGAGAAATTTCTAAATTTTTTATTTATTTTTTTTCATTTTCTCGTCAGTTATTACATGAAGTTAATGGCTATATTATTTTCACGCTGAAAAACATGCGCTATCCTAATTGTTGGCTTATTTGGTCTCTTGTAACCAGTAATGATAATAACTAATGGCTTTAACCATATTGTTAAGATAGTAAAAAAAGTTGATCATTAGAGGGAAAAAACAGAGAATTATCACTTGTTCTTCCAACAATAAATGTCCGTGAAATACTTGAGCGATGCCGCGAGCTTTCGAACGGTTTCTTTTCGTTGATAGAGAAATTTTTGTAAAAATACACTCAGGTTGGAAAAAACGCGCGTGTTGAGATTAAAACGTATGAGGGTCGCGTAAATGAATAATACGAATCGAAGGTAACACTGGAATTCTGAAGATGTCCAATTGAAGACGCACTGTACAAGTGGCACTTGTCGACGCCGAGGCACTCGATTCGATAATATCTGCGAATTTTTTCGTCCTATCTTGGGCTACACTTTTTTGCAAGTAGACAATGAGAAAATACGCGCGGAATGCAATGTTTACAAACACTCGAGTGCCTTATCACGAATGCCGCGAGACATTTAAAATACCTAGAATTGTAAAAAGTACAATTAAGAGGGTTATCGGTGGAATTTTATTTTTTCAGAACGAGTCCTTCGAAAAATCGGTACGCAACAATTGCATCATTCAAAATAATATATACGTGCAAATTTCGGGAACTTGAGAGTCAGGATTTTTAATAAATGAAATCGAACAATTTTCCGCTCATACGCGTATTCACATTGTTATTTTCACGTACAGAAGACATCGTGAATTCGTTGCTACAATCACGTTTTAAGAAGTTTGGTTAATTTTTTCTTTCGCATCGGTAGGAAAAGTAATGCAATTGCAATTAAAATGCTCGCGCTGCACTTTACCGAGATTACAACGTCATCGTTGTAAAAAGATACATTACTTTGGCACGTAGTGTTATTTTTATTTTACGCTCGGTGAACACAGGTGATTTGTTAATTATCATACATTTATACGTATAAAAAAATATATTCGTATACATTTAAGTCTGAAAATTATATTTGGAGGCCAAGTTGTCCAATAACACCCTGAAATCATTATATGGACCAGCCATGTCTATATACTTGTATAATATGCCTTACACATTTTCCTACAAATCTCAAACTACCTATTGCTGATCCACTCCTCAAACATCAAGAAATTCGTGTGTGGCCACTTAAATTGTAGTTTTCTTTGATGAAAATCATAATGAAGTAAGCATTTAATTTCCTGGTTGTCCTGTAAACTACAGCAACCACCATACCAGAACGTCCGTGAATCTTTGACTGAACGTAAAAAAAAAAAAAAAAAAAAAAAAACTCCAAAGTGCTGTTTGCTCATAGACCGTAGGTATAGGTACAGGTGTGCGCGATCTGCATACGCGCGGGTACGGGTGAAACATCCTGCCTCCGAGAGCCGCAGAAAAAAAGACCCATGTGGAATTTCGTACGGAAACGAATGTAACGTCCGCGGCGTGGTGGCTGTAGCCGAAGCACCGGGTGATTGACCGGATCGCATATTTTCGCCTCATTTCGTATCTCACGCGTCGTCGTGTCGTTGCACCGGGCCAGACAACCAACCGATGATGCTTAGTTGTACACTGTTTGCCCCGTACTCGCTCGTGTGTAAGTATCGTCTTGCCGGCTTATTACTACCGAGCTATTTTTTTGTCTAAGAAAGCGCAAGTACACGCGCTCACTTATCGCACGCTCGTGATGGATGCCTCGATGAATTCATTGTTAACTCCGGCCAGACAACACAAATGCACGATGAGCGTGAACTTTGATATTTTTATCCGCAAGCTCCGTTGCTCGTTTTCACGCTTTTGCGAATACTCTGCGTGTACGTGCTTTCTTCTCAACGAGATAATTCGTCCCGAGTGCCGATTTACCGATCAGCCCTGGTTCATTTCGAGGAGTTTGTTAAACCATGTATTATTACCTTACCGCAGGCACTACATTGCCATTACCTCCCTGTACGTATGGATATATTTTTTTTTTTTTTTTTTGCGTAAATTGCTATGATATATCGTAAATGGTTTATTACAGTATAAATAACATGTGCAGGACTTTACAGTGCTGTGATTCGGAAATAATTGAGCGTACCGTATAATATGTATTTCATATATATTACTGTAAAATTACGTGTTAAATTTGTTTTCAAGTATTAAATGAAAGGATGTTTTTTCCTAATTCATTGGCAATTAAAAAAAAAAGAAAGTGCATGTACATGAACATGGCAGTGAAAAGGCGTGAATAGAGATCTCAAAAAAACCTCGACAATGTTGTAAAATAATTTTTATAGAACAAACATATTACATACTAGTCATGAAATCCCAAACATTGATAGCTCGTGAGTTAAAGACGCGTAATGATTCAAATGCTTATTGAAGCTATGATAGCGGCCAAGAAATCAAAACATGCTTTTCAATTACAATTTCTTGCATCACAATGCATATATCATTATGTACGTACATGCTGAGATTTTACATCAAGTTGGATTTATTTATGGCTCGTTACCCTAAACAACAATTGGAATAAAAATATCGCGTGTACGAAGGCGTAAATAGTTTTCAACGCAAACACGATGCGTTGCACAAGTTCTTGCACTGTTGTGATTCTATTTCTGTTGAGTGACTGTCTCGTTACGATAAAAAATGAAAAGCTCTCGACGTTTGTTCTTCAAAAATCATAATTTCTTGGGAAAAAATTTAATAAGCAAAAAGGTTAACTCGTTTTACGTAACGCGTCTCTCGTACTTGTCACGTCGATCGAAATTTTTTCAAGATACCTAAAAAATTTTATTCGTCATACTTTATCAAAAAAAAAAAAAAAAAAAAAAAAAAAAAAAGTAAGTGCGAAAAATTTACACTGCTATTACAAAGTCAGTGCACAGATAAGCTATTTGAAGTTCAAATAGCAAGTTTATTCATTATAACACTCTGTACTCTTTTATCGGACCCTAATTAACATTTTTCACATGTGCGTCAACTATCATTCATATCGCACATTCGCGCCACTTGGTAATGAATTGATATTTTTTTTTTTTTCTATACAAACATCGGTATCATCGAGATTGAGTCCATTTTACATATTGAAAATTTAATCTTGACGATGGAGAAACTTTGACTTGATCGTGCGAAACAAAGCCAAACAAATACCTAATCGGTGAAGTGAGAAAAAAACCTAGTAAAGATGTACACACCCGGAAGGTAAAAAACGATCATCGCCATTCTATTTGAAATACTTAGCAATGGCAGCTAAACAATTCAGCCAACAGGCAAAAGAAATAAATTTTAGTTGCGGCGTAGTGTTGGCTGCGCATAACTTGCGCGTCAAACAAAAAAAAAACAAAATTAAAACAATTACGCGCTTTGATTTATCTTACCTGTATAGTACGAGAGTACCTACACCCCGCACTAACGATCGCGTCGGGGTGAGGTGCTTTGAACCAATTGCCGTTTAGAAAATCATCAGCAAAAGTGTAAGAAACCTAGTTTTTCTCGTTTACCAGTGAATCAAAGTTTTTCATCGTAAAAAAGTTTTTTTTTTACTTTCCAATAATTTTTAAAATCATTAAAGTATCAAATGCCTACAAATAAATAGTCTCAGAGTCAGCGATCGTTGTTGTAACCGACGTGTGCATTGATGTTGAAGAATTTCGTTGTATTTGTAATATTTTGCACACGAGTGAATCACGATTGTTCAGAGGTAATAATACATGCGTCACACAAACAAAATATTTTCGAATCTTACAACATGTTTGTAGACGAGCTACACGGCATCGTGACGATCACTTCCGGTATCGTTGAAAATCACACGCCCATAGACTGTCGCGCGGCTCATAAAGTCTATACTAGAAGGGAAAACCAAAGAGTCAGCAAAGATTGAAATTTCGTCAACTTGTTGAGAATAATAGAGTTACACATTTACGCGCCAAACGCAACTAATTATCCGGTAAAAACGTGGCACCGACTGCAAGAGCAAAAAATAGTTTCTTTTGCCTTCACCTTTGTGTGGAGCGTCGTAATAAATCTTGAGCAAATATTTGACATGTATGTTCGTATCATAGAAACGTCAATGATGGTGATAACGTGAGCTCCATTCATACCCACAATGATTCTCGAGGATAAGAGAGTCGTCCGAAGTAACGCGAACCAAGGAAAAACGCATTTTAAGGTCTTATTTGATATTTCATTGACACTCGTGCTTCTCTTGTCGAGATACTCCGAATTACCGATGCCGTTGGCTCTCGAGCCTCTTCAAGTATATACAAGTGCAATGCCTCGAAGTGCAAGTACTTTAAGTTTAAAAAATTGGGTCTTAAAATGAAAAAAAAAAAAAAAAAAATAGCTCAGTGATTAAACGACTCTTAAAGAGAAGAAAGCTCTTTTTGTCAAATTAAAAACGATCAGCATTCTCGTGAGGATTTCAACGTTTAGTATAACCATTGTATTTAACGAACAATTAAATTTATCGAAACGTACATGAACGCGTTGGAATTTCAACACGCAAACACTTTCGAGATATTTTTATGTATAGTAACAACTTTAGTGATGAAAAGTTGATTTTTAATGCTATACGCTCGCAGATAAATTTATTGCAGCTTGATGTCGCGCTTTCAAGAGACGCTAAATTTCCCCTGTAAACTCAATGATTATTTTGAAACTATATATATATATAGCTTTCTTCTCAACGAGATAATTCGTCCCGAGTGCCGATTTACCGATCAGCCCTGGTTCATTTCGAGGAGTTTGTTAAACCATGTATTATTACCTTACCGCAGGCACTACATTGCCATTACCTCCCTGTACGTATGGATATATTTTTTTTTTTTTTNATGTATATTAGATAAGCGATCCCTGAAACTTTCTCGGCACCGCATCAACTCGGCGCGGAATGCACCGCACTGGCTCGTATTAGTATACAATAATGTAATAGAGTAAAATATATCAGCGCTCTCTCTCTTCCCTCGGGCAATTGGACGCGCAAATGATGATGCTATAGGTATATTTACTACACGTGTACACAACACGTAGTTAAAACCTATTGACAATTGTCGTGTGTAGATCGCGCGTAAATACACACAATGGGTCGCCGAGGCATTATCATCTCGGTATGTTATCGCTCTTGTTTCCTCGTGTGCTCGCCTGTGCCTCGCGCTTTTTCCATCTATACCCCACTTGTACACCTCATCCCTCGGGCCAACGCTCGCACCTTCCTTCGGGGCTCCCATCCATCTCGCACCGATGCTCTTAGCCACGAAAATCGACTTTGGGGGCAGAGGGAAATTCCTGCAGTTGCCCCGTGCATTTTCGTTGATGTACAAAAAAATTGATCAGGTGGACGCGCATAGGTACAATCGAGGGGAGAAACGGGGAAAAAGAGACGAGGCGGGCGTGAGTTAGTTGTAACACCTAGAGAGGGGGTTAGACTCGGGGCGCGCGAGTTTCGGAGCCGAGTCGGAGATCGGTAAGTGTATATGTATAAGCCCATCAAGAGAAGAAGTATATAAGGCCGGTATTATCTGTACGGTATATACACGAGGCAGAGGCAAACTTCAGGTCTCGGCTCGTCGGCTCAGTTGAGCCGCAAACGCCCGGCCGAGTGGTAGTATTTGTATATTATATTATATACATGCGGGACTCTGCTCTGCTGCAGCTCTCTCTCTCTCTCTCTCTCTCGATCTTCTTTTCTCCGTAGGTTATTGAGGTATTGTATACCTATACTCGCGTCTCGCGCTCTTCTCTGCTCTCTCTCTCTCTCTCTCGTTTTCCATCGCTGCATCCTCGCCGAGGCACCCTCTTGTGCAGCAGCTGTACTCTGCTTTGAGAGCATTGGTACATGTATACCTTTATAAATACATATACACACGGGCAAGGCAATCGAGGCTTCCTTTGTGCACTTGTACCCTATACGTATAATACAGTGTATAAGGTATTAAGCGTCGCCGCACCACCGATGCGACTAGTGTCCTGATCGAGTCGCGATCGAGGTGCTTCCGCTTGACAGCCCCCGCCACCTACGTCGCCACCACCTCTCCACCGCCAACCGCAACGTGCATACGTATATATATATTATATACACGTGCATTGGGCTCGCGCTCCTTGGACACTGTTTGTTTGGACACTGCAGCTGATGGCTACTACATCTTCAGCTCGCGGCCACTTCAAGTAACGATAGGTGGCTACGCGCGCATTGTTACCCCAACGGCAAAGATCCACGTGCATCGGGTCCAAGTTACATCAACTGCGCGACATCCTCTCGAGTGAGTACTACATCTTGCACCGGTGGACAAGAAGAGGCCCTTCTATTGCCTCGCCAAAGGACGACTGTCGTCACGCACACCGACACGGGTGAGTTTTCGTTTATTTTACCTTCCTTGCTCTTATCCTTATTCTTATTCCTCGTTGTTGTTGTTGTTGTTGTTTTCATCTGACGACGCAACGATGAATTACATATGTAAGTACTTGTACGCTATTACGGAGTCTTTTGACTGCTGCGCGTGCATTGCACTTTGCGTCCCATTCATTTGAGCGATTCTCTTTTATTTGTCATTTGTTCGTATACCTATATGTACGTATACGATGTTGATCTTGCGTTACATTTTTACGCGGCATTTGTACGAGCTTCCGATAATGAGGCACCAATTTCCAATTGCTGTCATCCAAGTATTTAGTCAGTTTTACCAGGCCGGACAAAAATAATGTTAAATTTTTCTGCTCCGGTAGAAGTGAAAAATAATTAGTTGATTACTGTGCTGTGCTTTCCGTTTAAAAAGTCAAAGTAAATTAAAAAGGCCATTTTGAAATTTTCAAACAAAGATTCGTACGAAGTATGCCGATGTTTGCGGACAAACAATTGAAGATCGCTGATGAAAGATTTTCTGCAGCTTTGAGGATACGAAAGTCAAGCAAAGAAAAAATACCACTCTAGCGACTTACTTAATTTTCTTTTTCTTTTTCTTTTTTTTTTTTTTTTTTTTTTATTCGAATTGTAAGTAGGTATATGGATAACGAAAGTTTCCAGTGAAACGACAATTATTCCAAAAATAGAGTACCTACGACCAACCGTCCCCGGCCGGCGTTCGAACGCCGCGTTATGTTAAACGCCGCTTCGAACGATTTCAAACCGCCCACTTGAAACAGCCGAATTTCCTCCACGCCGTGAGCCCAATCATAATCATGTACGATCATGAGGGGAAAAAACTAAACTTTACCTCATCTGCATTTGATTCCTCGTCGTTTTCACCGAAAATCCAATTTGAAAATCAAATTTGCGTTTCGAAATTCGCCCCTCAATTAAATATTTTTCCACCGCCTTCTGTCTCTCTCTCTCTCGAGCTACGTATAGACCGGCGTAACATTTTATTTATCAATTCGATCGAAAAATACCTGCCACGTTGGGTGCCGTTGAGCGACATTAAAATATTATATTATACCCAGATAATATAACACATTAACCGCGATACACAATTTTTTGTGTGTATACATATGCATAATTAAACGTCGCGCGGCATCGATTAACTGATTAAACGAAAACTCTCTCTCTCTCTCTCTCCTAAACTCGCTTTTAATACATATATATACCTATAATTTAATCTAAAAATATAGACATGTGCGCGAGCTTACGTAACGTATTACAAGTATATATATATATATATATCTAGAGC